TGTTGACGTTGCTGTCGCTATCTGCAGCAGCAACTGTTTGCGCCCCTGTTGCTGCTGCTGCTGCTGCTGCGGCCATGATAGCGCAGTTGCTGCTGCAGCATCTGCCGCTGTGCTGCAGCAGCAACTCCGTAGACTTCCTTCGAAAGAAACTACAGACGAAGCCGTGTTGCTGCTGCAGGCACGTCAGCTGCAGCTGCAGCAGCAGCAGCAACAGGAGCAGCACGAGCAGCAGCAGCAGCTGCAGCAGCAGCAGCAGCAGGTGGCAGACAAGACTGCTCGGGGTATTTCGGTGGCTTTATTTACAGTTTAATGTGCTACAGACTCAAAAAAGAGAGCAGCAAACGCAGATATAGAAGCAACCACGCAGCAGCAGCAGCAGCAGCAGCAGCAACAGCAGCAGCAGCAGCAGCAGCAGCAACAGCAGCAGCCTGCTCCAACGGGCCCCAGGAAGGCTGGCATTCAAAGGCTGCAAGAAGGAAGGGTATTCACAAGCAAACCCTAAACCCTAAACCCTAAACCACAAACCCTAAACCCTAAACCCTAAACCCTCGATACAGCAGATGTGTTGACGAGGGTTTAGCTGTTTTCTCTGTCTTCAGCTCTGGGGGCCCCCCGGCCCCTCCTGGGGGCCCACACATGCTAAACCCTAAACCCTAAACCCTAAACCCTAAACCCTAAACCCTAATGAGTTCTTTATTTGCTGGCTGGGAAGATGCAAAGGGGGAGGGAGAAGGTGCAGATACACCGCAAAACCCCACAGTGTACACGGAGCTGCGCTTGAGGGTGAGCAGCAGCAGCAGCAGCAGCAGCAGCAGCAGCAGCGGCAGCAGCAGCAACAGCAGCAGTAGCAGCAGCAGCAGCAGCAGCAATCCTACAGCAGCAGTAGCAGCAGCAGAAGGTTGAGTATCAGCAGCAGCAGCAACAGGAGGCCGACGAAGCGGGAATCTACAAAACCCTAAACCCTAAACCCTAAACCCTTATATTTGTGTGTTTTGTTTTTTTAGGGTTTATTAAAAACACAAGAAGAGAGAGATAAGCTGCTGCAGCACTGCTGCAGCACAGCAGATGTACACTGTATAGGCAGCTGGACCGATATAACACTACAATCAGCTGTTCATGCTGCCGGTTAGGGTTTAGGGTTTAGGGTTTGGGGTTTAGGGTTTAGGGTTTGGGGTTTAGGGTTTGGGGTTTAGGGTTTTCATTATGAGCGCACTATTGCTGCTGCTTTTGTTCAGCTATCAGTGGATATCTTGCTGCTACTGCTGCTGCAGCAACTTCTGCTGCTGCTGCTGCTGCTGCTGCAACTGCTGCTGCTGCTGCTGCTGCTGCTGCTGCTGCTGCTGCAGGGTGCATGGATATGCGTAAGCGGGCGGAGACACCGCAGGAGGTGACCCTGCGGTGGTATGCCGAGCCAGTAGATATCAAAGACACGTGGTAAACCCTAAACCCTAAACCCTAAACCCTAAACCCTCAAACCCTAAAC